CCATTATCTACATGGGCCTAAAGACCTGGATGGAATGTATTCTCTCGGCTGCCAAGCAAGAGGCCGTCCGATGAGGCGAAAAGCACACCTGGTCTCCCAGGATGCTATGACCGGAGGGCTGGACAGCAGGACTCGGCCTGAGATGGCAGAGCAGGCCTCCGCCCGAATTACTGGACAGGAAAAGCAAGCGTTGGCTCCTTCCATCCCTGGACATCACACTGCCCCTGGCTGCAGTATCCTCCCACTGTCCTGTCTCCCTGCTGTCCAAATCCTCCACACCCGTCAAGGCCCAGCTCAAACCTCACCTCCGCCATGAAGCCACAGCTCCTCCCAAACTTGCACCTGGTTCATTAGATGTTGTTTTCTAACAGTTTCAGGCTTGTATCGCTTCTCCCAGACTGTGAGGTCCTGGTGGGTGGGGCCGTGACTTACATCCACCGGCACAGGGTTAATGCTTGATTCAGGATGAGACATGGAGTAGGCAAGAAAATCTGCTCAATTCTACATAAAGCTCATGTAGGAGCACAGAACTGAAACCCTCTCCCTGTTCTCCTCCACCCCCAAATCAGGTCATTCTGCACTGCGACAGAAGAGCCAGCAGGAATAAGGGTGACACACACTCTCACTCTGACTTCACAGAGAGGCTGCGAGCAAGCTCCGTGAGTGACTCTAGGTGGCCTCTGCCTGAGTTGGTCTATCGTTAACTGTGTCACCCACGGACAGGTAGCCTTTTCCCGACTTCTCCAAGAAGAGCGCTCCACACCCTCGGCAGGTCGCTAGTCCCACTATGAAACACTTCATCCTATTAGAAAGTGCTTAGAGAAGCGGGTGGCTCTTTGTGTAATGACACAGGTCCCCAAGGTTCCACCGCCTTAGAATATCATTGGTCACATGCTTCCCTTGCTGCTTTTACCCTGGCTTGATACAGTCCCAATGTGTGTGCCTCCCACCTGCCAGGCCCACCATCAGCACCACTGAGATGCCACAGACAAAGATGACCTGGGTGTCTCTGCTCACCTCCAGGCCTCTGCCCTGTGCAGCACAAGTATGGCTGGGAGGACCTGTCATCCCTAAGTTTCCTACACAAGGACCCTCAACAGTTTAAGACACAGCACGATTTCACAAAAACGAAGCTAGAAATTTCTGGTATAGACATGTTCTACCCACATAATTATACCCGTAGGGATGCAGCTTCTTGCTCATATTTGAATGAGTAATAAACATTTTATTAAATGCTTAAACACCTGGCACTGCTGAGAACTGTAAATGCATTATCTCACTCATCACAACCACCTATGAAGGAAATATGCCCATCCTACTTCATGATAAGAGAACCTAGACTCAGAGAGGTTAATGTGCTCTCCTGAGGCCACCCAGACTAAAAGTATAAAGTTGACACCTGGAATCCAAGCCTGACACCAAAGCCCAGGGGTTGAGTCACCTGCTTCCTTTAGCTGTAGCCCAGGTCACAGTTCTACAATCTGGGCTTTTACTTACGAGTTGGAGAGAGCAGGGAGAAGCTTTACACCAGGCCTCAGGTTTGGGCTCAGCCCTGGGAGGCAGACCAAAGGACCCTGCCCTGCCCCTCACTCCTCTGATAAGCCTCTGCTTGGATGTCAATGCCTCACTGATGTGGGCAGATGTGTGGCAACAAACACCCAGCGGGGCAGAGGAAGAGTAGTTCTAGCCCTGACTCAACCACCAACTGGCTGGTGACCTTGAGCAGCTCATTCCTTCTCTGCATCTCATTTGGGATAATACATTTAAATCATGATGTGCCCATATCTCTAGACAAAGCTGATGCAAGGTCAGGCCACAGTGCCCTTTCTACCACAAATTGCCATCTTATATTTTCACCCCAAGTCATTTCATTAAAAAAACAAGATGTTAGTCACAACCCATTAAATTGATTTCCTGATCCACTCATGGGTTGTGATGAAGTTTTGAGAAACACTGGACTGAAGATGGTGAACTAAAGAAACCTTTTTGACAGCCCAACAGAGAGAAGAGCCAGGAGCAGGAGTGGAGCCCAGCTGCCCGTAGTGCACAGTTTGAAAACCGGGTGGCTCAGCAGCTCCCTAAAGTCCTTGTCTCATTCTTGAGTTGAATGAACTATGCCTGATCTAAACTGTGTGTGTGGAGCAGTCACTGAAAGGTAATCTAATTGGCCAGAATACAGTACTTTGTACTCAAAACTGAACTACTGCACCCGTGGCCTGAGCCCTAGTCCCTCCATCGAAAGGCTGATGCCCGATACTGCAGGGCAGCCAGGGAAGGAATGCAGAGCCTCCATCCAAGGACAGGCACGGCTCACCCCATTAAACGTGCAGCTGTCAGTGACTTGTGTTCAAACCCCAAGTTCAAAAAAGGAGATGGAGCCCCAGGACACTGCCTGTCTCTTTTCTAAGCAGGGAGGAATGTGGTTGAAGAGAAAGTAACAACAGTCTTCAGCTCTAGATAGAGCAGACNGCACTGCTGAGAACTGTAAATGCATTATCTCACTCATCACAACCACCTATGAAGGAAATATGCCCATCCTACTTCATGATAAGAGAACCTAGACTCAGAGAGGTTAATGTGCTCTCCTGAGGCCACCCAGACTAAAAGTATAAAGTTGACACCTGGAATCCAAGCCTGACACCAAAGCCCAGGGGTTGAGTCACCTGCTTCCTTTAGCTGTAGCCCAGGTCACAGTTCTACAATCTGGGCTTTTACTTACGAGTTGGAGAGAGCAGGGAGAAGCTTTACACCAGGCCTCAGGTTTGGGCTCAGCCCTGGGAGGCAGACCAAAGGACCCTGCCCTGCCCCTCACTCCTCTGATAAGCCTCTGCTTGGATGTCAATGCCTCACTGATGTGGGCAGATGTGTGGCAACAAACACCCAGCGGGGCAGAGGAAGAGTAGTTCTAGCCCTGACTCAACCACCAACTGGCTGGTGACCTTGAGCAGCTCATTCCTTCTCTGCATCTCATTTGGGATAATACATTTAAATCATGATGTGCCCATATCTCTAGACAAAGCTGATGCAAGGTCAGGCCACAGTGCCCTTTCTACCACAAATTGCCATCTTATATTTTCACCCCAAGTCATTTCATTAAAAAAACAAGATGTTAGTCACAACCCATTAAATTGATTTCCTGATCCACTCATGGGTTGTGATGAAGTTTTGAGAAACACTGGACTGAAGATGGTGAACTAAAGAAACCTTTTTGACAGCCCAACAGAGAGAAGAGCCAGGAGCAGGAGTGGAGCCCAGCTGCCCGTAGTGCACAGTTTGAAAACCGGGTGGCTCAGCAGCTCCCTAAAGTCCTTGTCTCATTCTTGAGTTGAATGAACTATGCCTGATCTAAACTGTGTGTGTGGAGCAGTCACTGAAAGGTAATCTAATTGGCCAGAATACAGTACTTTGTACTCAAAACTGAACTACTGCACCCGTGGCCTGAGCCCTAGTCCCTCCATCGAAAGGCTGATGCCCGATACTGCAGGGCAGCCAGGGAAGGAATGCAGAGCCTCCATCCAAGGACAGGCACGGCTCACCCCATTAAACGTGCAGCTGTCAGTGACTTGTGTTCAAACCCCAAGTTCAAAAAAGGAGATGGAGCCCCAGGACACTGCCTGTCTCTTTTCTAAGCAGGGAGGAATGTGGTTGAAGAGAAAGTAACAACAGTCTTCAGCTCTAGATAGAGCAGACTGTTCTGAACAATGCTTAAACCTGCTGGGTTCTGAAAAGCTGCCTGGATGTTGCACATTAGTAACAGTTCTTGTGCTTTCCAGGTCACATGCAAACTCCTAATTCCATCAGCAGCTTCCTTCCCAGGCCCACTGTTGAGGAACTACTGGTGGTGAAGTTGTTTCTGGGTAATTAACCACCACATACGAAATGGTTCCTCAATGGCAGTGGGAAAGCGCCAGGTGGAGATGGCAAGGAGGAGGGGAGGCTGGACTGCATCTCCTCCCCCCCACTTCTGACTCCCTCCACCTCCTGACACGCATAGTACTTCTCAGGACACAGGAAACCACCACAGGCTCTGGCCTGTGACACCGCTCTGCTCAGCTCCACTTCACAGCAGATGTGTGGCCTGTGTGTCACTGATACACAGTGTGATTTCACTAGAGCTAGCTGGTCACCATCCACCCCCCACCCCTATTCCAGGCACATGTCCACAGTCTTGGCATAGTGTCAACAGACACTGAATGGCTTAATGGCTTATCTAAATGCAAGTTGGATCACAACAGCTGTTCTTTAACTCAAACTGTATTTTCCACCATAGATTTGATTCTGTATTAAAAGGTGAAGGAGTTCACTGACAGATGAACGGATAAACAAAATATGGTCCATACATACAGTGAACTGTTATTCAGCCTTAAAAAGGAAGAACATTCTTTCACATGTTACAACATGGGTGAACCTTGAAGACATAGGTTAAGTGAAATAAGCCAGTCACAGGTACTGCATGCCTCCACTCATATGAAGTAGTCAGAGTCATCACAGAGACAGAAAGTGTCATGGAAGTTGTCAGGCATTAGGGGAGGGAGGATGGCAAGTTATTGTTTGATGGGTACAGAGTTTCAGTTTTGCAAGGTGAAAAGAGTTCTGCAAATATCAGATGGAGGTGACGGTTCCACGACAATACTAATGTACTAATGCCACTGAACTGTACACTTCAAAATGGCTAAGATGGTACATATTATGTGTACGAGCACAATAAAAAAAGGGGGGGAGGTAGAGGGGAGAAGGTGGGAGCTGAGTAAAGTAGAAATCCCCTTTGCAACTCTGGCTGGCTCACCACCCAGACCAATGCCAATTTGAAACTGGAAAAGTTGCCCCAGAGGAGGTCACTGGTGACTCCCGTACTTTTCAGACCAAACTGAAATACTTATTTCCGGCACCATCCTGCTAGGCCCTCAGTGCTTGGGAATGTCTTCGAGGGTCTCTGTCTGGTTGACAGTCCATAAGAGGGTTCCTGGGCTGCACCCAGGGCGTGGCTGGTGGGCATGTACCTGGAAGGGTAGCCGGCTGCGCTGATTCGGATCGTCTCCAACACCCCGCACGCTCGGAGCTGCTGCACTGCTCTCTTCGGGTCAAAGCTGCAAAACCAAAAGACAAGCAATGAGTGGCCATCTGGCAGAGAGGAACCAGAACAGGAGAAGGAAAGACCACCTCTTCCTGTCTGAGTTGCTGGTCATCCCGCACCACTGAGCATAGGTCAGGTGAAAAACACAGAGTAAAAGACACTGATCGGCAGGCACACGAGCCATTTCAGCATCTCAGCTCGGTGCACTTTTAGTCTCACTCAGGATACCCCTCTCCTTCTTTGCCTATTTGAATTCTGTCTATCCTCCAAGACTCATTCTTGCTTCCTCTCCAGAGCCTTCCTTTATTATTTTCATCCACAAGGGTACCTGTATTATCCAATGGCCAAAACATTTACCCTTGGCACCACAGGCATTATGTGGCTGAGGAGTTCAAAGGGTGAGTTTCAGGCACACCTGGACCAGAATGGGTGTACAGAGGCGTAACCTACAGGGTTGCATGCGATAAGTGTGGTTAAATTGCTAAAAGGAACCAGAGGAAAGACGTTGTGGCTGGCTGGGGTAATCAGGGAGTTTGTGGAGAAAGAATTAAGCTGAACTAGAATTAATTATGAGATATAATTTGATAAAACTATGGTCTCAATCAGATAGGATGAGAAATAAATGCTCCCTTTGTTCCTGGCTCTTCCACAGTTCAGCTACAGCCCCAGGCCAGGCCCTCCAGACTCAGACCCGGGTATCACAGGTCCTACTGGCTTCAGCATACACCTTGGCCGAGCAGTCGGGCCGCCTCCTTGCTCTGCTGGGTAAATGCAGGTGGAGGCTTCTTTACCTCTAGAATCCCAGCGGGCAGCCCCTCATCACACCTGTCGGCCATGCTCCCTGACAACCCCAAGTGTTCTCTTCCTGGGAGCGGTGCCCACTCAGGATTCTGGAACTCTGCAGAAGTCACATCTCTCCATCAAGACTCCCTCTCGCCCTCCCGTCTCTGTGTGACCTGATCAGCGTCCTCTTGGAGCCCCACACACCAAGCTGGTCCCGTGGAAGGCATCTGGCAAAGGATTTTTTAACTTCGCTTGAACTTCTTCCCCACTTCTCGATGACCTCAACGTCACTTCCTTGCCCCCATGGGGAGGGAAATGAGCAAGGGTAAAGGAGAGAACTGGCCTTAGCTCTGCTAGTGTCCCTCTGCGCAAAAGACACTCTCTGTAACTAGGTTTCCTCATTTATTCAATGGGAGCTGAGAAGATTTGCCCAAGTATAATTCAATGGTTTGCTGTAATGATCAAGTGATGTAAACGAGAGGAATGCCGTTAGAAAAATGGAGACACTATACAAAGATGCTGTCATCATCTCTTCCTGTTCACGCACCCCCAGGGACCGTGTAAAGACAGCCAGGCTTCTGCATTTTAATTTAATCTTCCCAACACTAAGGTAAACTCACTGTCAAATGCATCTGGCAATCTGTCACCGGGTAATGGAGTGAAAACCAGCCCCTCCACCTAGTAAATTTTGGAGGACTAGGGTGTGCTCAAGCAACACCTAAATCTGGACTGAAAAGCTACCTAAGATATAGAGGGTCAAACTGTTGAAGCGCAGGGTTACACTCTGTCCTCTCAATAAAATGTGCAGGTTCAGCAGGGCCAAAAGCTTGCTGGATGCAGAGACTCCCAGTGTTAGATTGGGCTCTGCCTCGGCAGTCATGCGCCACTTAATTGATTTTTGCACAAGCTGCAAGCTCCCCACCCACCTCACCGGGCTCTGCCGCATTCCGCAGTCACACTGCAGGACCCTGAGACTCTAGGACTGCTTGCCTGAGAGCAGGGGGATGGCCTTCGGGAAACCTGGCCAGCTCCTCTGATGAGCCATCCCAGATCGCCACGCTTGCTCCGGGCCACCTCCTCCCTGGACACTTATCCCGTTCTCTCACCTCTCCGCTCCTGCACTTTTAGAGACAGTTGCTTCTATGTCATCGCCAGTTATTTGTGACTGGCAACTCCTTAAGGATAAGGGACATCTCTTATTCATTGTCATTCCACCTGTCGTGGCCCAGTACCCAGTGAGCAGTAGGTATGATAGATGGATAGATGTTTGCTTGTTTTTAAATAAAGGAAGAAGCAGAGGGAAAAAGACCTGTATACAAGAGATGCTATCAAAGCATTTAGTGTAGGACACAGTTCCTCCACTGGGGGTGATCATGTCCTCCAACATTTGGCAAAGTCTTAAAATGTTATTTGTCACAATGGTGGGGGTGTTACTAGCATTGAATGGATAGAGGCCAGGGATGCTAAGCTTCCTATAGCACACAAGACAACCCCACAACAAAGAATTACCTGGCCCCAAATGTAAACAGTGCCAAGGCTGAGAAAGTCCGGATGTATGGGATGGGAGGAGGGACACGGCATTTTCCTTCTAGGATAATGTCAATAACATTATATTTTAATCATATAAATTCTCTCCTTGAATTTATTCATAATCATTTCATAACCACAAGTAACAGATGAAGAAATGAGACGGAGTAAAGGACTAGCTTGAGGTTAACCAAACAATTGGTGGCAGAGCCCGGACTAGAATCCAGGTTTTCTGAGTTGGTTCAGCATTCTTCCCTCTTTCTTTACTGGGAGGAAGACTTTTTTGGTGCTAAAGACAAAGGAAGGTCTTAGAAAATGGGATATTAGGACTGAAAAGTCGCTTTCAAAGTCCCCAACATCTTCTCTCATTTGGAAGGGGGGGCCCAGCAAGAGAAAAGCTCCTGGCAGGCGCCAGGTTCTGAGGAATGAACCGCCCAAGGTCACAGCTGGTTGGGGCCCAAGCTGGTGCCCAGCCTCCTCTCTTCCCTCCTGCTCCTGCCCTTCACACATAATCTAAGTCTTTTACACAAGCTGCTCTTCTAACCGCCTCTTTTCTTCCACAGTCAGCTGGTAAACAGATGCCACCAGAGATGGGGGTGGAGGGATCCTGAGCGTGTCTCAGAAATTTGGAGGAAGGGAAAAGAGTAAACAGTCGGCACGCTTCACAGAAGGCTGATTCAATATTGTCCTCTTAGCCTTTTCCAGCACAAGACCCATCCGAGCGCAAGTCAAGCTTCATCAAATGACAGGAACGGCAACGGCAGCTCAGTTATTCATTCTGAGAGTCAGAGTTGCCAAAATAAATTATTTCACAGAGCAAAATTATACTAGGACCAAAAAGGAAATCAGAAAGATGGGAAGAAAATGCTTAAAAAGCTTTAAATAGATCTCTTTCTGGCCCAAGGAAATAGCATGTGTGGAGGCTCCGGGTAGTGGAAGAAGAGGCTGTAGACCATTCTAAAGGCTTCGGGAAGTAGTCCAGGCAAGAAATGAGGAGAGTCTGAAACAAGGTGATAATGGAAGGAAGACAAAAGGGAGACCAGTGTGAGGAATTTTTGACTCCATGGGATTCTGACAATGATTAGACTCGGGACTACGCTGTCCGATATGGTAGCCACCAGCTGCCTATGAGTGTGTGAGTGTTGTTGAAATGAAACTGAGAATTCAGTTTCTCAATCACACTAGCCACATGCTAAGCACTCAATAGCCACATGTGACCAGTGGCTATCACGTTGGACAATGCAGATTATAGGACAGCCCCATCATCATAGAAAGTTCTACTGGACGGCACTGGTCCAGAGTGATTCTCGGGTTTCTAGTTTGGAAGGCTCTTTGGTGGGTAGGTGAGATGTCAGAAAATGGTTATGCCATTCACTCCAACAGAGACCATATAAAGAGGAACCTGGTGGGGGAAAAAAGAGGAGTCTGGTATCAGACAGGTTGAAAGGGAGGTAGGCCTGGAGAAACAATGGTCAGGAATTTGGTAGAAGCCAGAGATAGACAGAAATATTTAAGTATCCTGGCTCTACAGATTTGGGTAGAATCAACCATGTGAGAATGGACAGAATCGGAAAAAAATTTTCAAGGTAGGCATAGAGGCAGGATTTGGATGTGAGTAGGCTGAGGAGTGAGGGAAGGAGAGCAGGCGTGGATGACTCTGGAAGCTCAGAGGTAGAGCAGATGTGAGGAACAGCACCACCTGAGTGTGTATTGATACCATTGCAATTAACCTAGTTATTTATTTGTTAACAGGAAAGGGGCAAAGGGAAGGCCAGATAATATGGGCATGCCATTTGTGCCAGGAAACTGCAGCTTAAAACTCTTCAGGTCTGTTCCCCACAGATCCTGGGGGAAGGGACTGGATAAAGAAAGAATAGACGCATGCCCAGTAAAGTCTAAATGACATGGGCTTGCCTGTCACTCATACCTGGGAACAGGGCATTGGTCAGAATAGGCATGTAGGCATGGCCACTACAAGCAGGGGAAGATTTGATATCCAAGTTCCTAAACAAAGGGGCTCTCTTGCTCTTGCTCTCTTACTCTTGCTTGCCCCCTTGCTGCTGCACCTAACTCCTGGCTTGCGGGGCTCTCACCCACATGGTTCACAGTCACGCGGACCCCACAAACAATGGACTGATGGACTGGAATTAGCCTGATGCTGTGCCAGACTCAACTCCTCCATGGAACGGAAACTCTAGACACTGGCTTTGCTTCTAGCTCTACTGAAGCCCCAGCTATACCATTTCCAGGACTGGTTTAAGGGAAATGGGACTTTGGAAACCAAGGGATATAATTCCACACAAATAAAGCCTTCTACCACATCACATCCTCCTGTGGGGGCCTCTGGAAATTCTTGTTCCAGCGACACCACAAGAACCCCACTCTCACCAGGTCAGGTTGCCTCAATGCAAGAAGCCTTCCCTGACTACTCCAGTGAACCTCCAGTGTCTGAAATGAACATCTGCTGTGAGACACAATCTGGTTGGCACTTAGTGGCACACTTTTACATGGGTACCTACTGGATTCAAGTACACACCCTCCTCAACACCACCGTAAATCACATGGGATGGGGGAACTATATCTTCTCATTTCCTTGAATCCTCCTGTGCAGCAGACAGGTGACCTTGGTAAATGTCTGTGGGCCTGTATTCAGCATATAAGCCATTTGGGGAGTGTCAGATCAACCATTCACCCCACTGAAGACTGCAGCCCCCTGTGAGGCTGTGCCTGCCCACTCCCTGAATGCCTAAGGGAGCATGAAGAGGCTGGGCTGGATGGGCTTGACTGGCCCAACTCCGAACGCGAGGAGCCGGGCTCACGCCTGGTACACTTACTGGAAGGGGAGTTTCTCGTCGTTGGGCTTGATACATCGGACATAGTGTGGCGTGGTGGCATTCAGCGTCTCCATGAGCAGGTGTAGGGAGGTGCGGAACTGGGGAGACAAAAGTCAGTGCCTGGTTATTTATCTTTAACATAAGGAAAGCCCACACTAGTAGTTGTGACTATTACTATTTTGATTATTACTGCTAACTCGGAAGGACAGGAAGAAACTCAGAGACCTGGGGTCTGATTCTAGCTCTGACACTCCTACCTGGGGTTGACTAAAATCAAGTCCCTCCTATATTCTGGTCTCAGGGCTCCTGAAAAGAACAAATGGGGAGAGGCCACGCCCTAACATGACTAACTCTGTCATGGATCAAAGGAGATGAAAGGCGACCACCTGCTATGAGAGATGATCACTGTGCCTGGAGGCCTCTTACCTCTAAACCTGCATCCTGGGGCCTGCACATTTGGTGCCCAGGTATCCTGGGAATTACTGCAGTTATATGAAATGTGCAGAATAGGCAAATCCAGTGAAAGAGGAAGGTTAGTACTACACTAACCTTGGCAGGCACACTTACCTCTTCTCTTGGGAGACACACTGGACATAACATCCCATGAAGACCCAAAGCGGGAGAGGTTGTTTTCAGTTTTCTGGTTCCCAGGCTTCTTTAATCCTCTCCACAACCTGCCCCTCCCACTAGGCATCTTAGGTGCTATAACGTGGCCCCACCACATGGAATAAATTCACTGTCTGGGGCTACAGTCACCCCTTTCCCTCTCCTGCTTGTTCCCTCTAGAGAAGGTCCCCAGTTTCCTTCTTCAAACAGCACAGAAAGACTGAGCTGAGCTGGGTGGCCACGGCTAGGATGCTGAGGCCACCTTAGCCTCCCTCTGATTCCGCAGCCATCCTTCATCTATGGAGGCCAGCCCAGCACATGTGCCACTGCCCACAGCTTCCTGCCACAAGCTGTGGGGCTGACCTGGTGGCCCACGGTTTTCTTGTGCTCCTTGTTGCAGGCTTTCAGTTGGGGTCTGGCAGAGCGAACATTGATCTTTGATGATGAGCCCTTTGCAGATGTGGTGGAGGCAGGAACAGAGTCCTTGTCATCATGAAACAAGTCAGCCACTAGTGGGAACTAGAAACAAACACAGGAAGAATATTGAAAACAAGATCTCTTGGACTTTAACTTGAACTTTGCTTAAACTCTTTCAAAGTAGCTTTCCAATATATACCCTAGAGGAGTGAAAACATGTCAAAACTTCTACACCAATGTTCACAGCAGCCAGCCACAAAGTGGAAACAGGTCACATGCCCATCAACCGAGAAATGGATAAACAGAATTTGGTATGTCCATACAGTGAACTATTACTCATCAGTATAAAGGAGTGAAGTTCTGATACATGCTACAATATTATTGGATCTTGTAAAGTTATTTAATTTCCCTGACCCTAATTTAGTCATCAGCATAAAGGCTTGAGAGAGAGGGACAGACTGGGTCCGAGGGGACAGTGCCACTGAGATGACCTCAGAGAGGGAGAGCGGGCTTTCTTGCTGCCTGTTGGCCTGAGTGAACAGGAGCATGGAACTGCAGATGGTAGTGGCATGATTGTGACAATGACGTTATTGGCCTGACTGAAGGGAGAAAACCTCTTGAGATTTGTCCATGAGCTGGGACATTCTGGAGAATTTGTAGTTTAGTAGTTTAAAAGCTATGCTTGTTGCAGGTCCCTGCTACTGAGACTGCATTTGAAATGGCAGGATCTCTGGGATGGAGAGAAGTTTGTTGGGACATTAACACTGGGAAGGAGGGGCAGGATACACATTCTACTCAGAATTTGTTTTATAAACTCAGTGAATATACAAAGACATCTAGTTTGACCTTAGGCTGTAGGCAATAGTAAAAGACCCGGCAAGAAACAGCAATTACTGCACCATCCACCCCATCCACCCACCTGGATAAGGGGCTAGGCCAGACAGGCCCCTGAGGGTTCCAACTATAAATAAACCTCCAGCCTCAATGAAAAGTAGTCACCAAAGCTCTTGCTTGACTAAGGATTCATGCAAAAGAACACACTTGTGAGTAAGGAAGAGGAGTTGTTTTTTCTTTAATTGACTAACTGTACTTAAGCTTTTGGAGAGCTATAGCAAAGCCTGTTTATAAGCTCACTAACCAGGAATGGAATTGTTATAATTCTTATCAGGCCATAAAAAACAGCATCCACCTGGGCCTTTTAAAAAATTTCCTCCCTTCAATCTTGGAAACACTCAGAAAATACCTTCAAACAAACCCAGCACTTCTCTAATACTGTTTGTCACTTATTTTCGTGTTCACAGGTACTAGCTTTGGTGTTCTCTGCTATTCAAGTTTATATATAGACTTTAAAAGCCTGAGGCACATCTATTTGAAAGGGATTAAAAGTATGAAAACACTTTCTAAAGACCATTTGACAGTTTAAGAAAATTGTCAATTACAGCTATTTACAGTTATTTACATAACTGTTACCTTGGAAATCACGCCTCTTCACTTCTGTTTATAAGAACATAAAACATACTCTTTTTTTTTTTTTCAGAGTTGATTTTTTTTTTTTTTTCAATATATCTTTATTGATCTCAGAGAGAGGAAAGGAGAGGGAGATAGAAACATCAATGATGAGAGAGTCTTAACTGATCAGCTGCCTCCAACTGGGGATGGAGCCCACAACCCGGGCATGTGACCTGACCAGTCTCCCGGATCCTAGGTCTACGCTCAACTGCTGGGCCACGCCCGGCTGGGCATAAAACATATTCTTATAAACAGACATATGAAACTAAAATAAGACACTATAATAACCCTTTGATTGGGATCGCTCACCTAGAATCTTATCTTTAAAAACTCAATATGCATAGTAAATAAATTTTCTTTTCAATCAGTTCTTTTACATGGTACCCCTTTGGGAATAAAAACCTACAACTTTTAAGAAAGAAATATTTTTGTGTAAAAGAGTTTTGAATGGGCTTTGGAGAAAAAGTCTTGGTATTTCATCTTCCTACACTGGAAAGGGAATGATATTATTTTATGTACGAAAATGTTTTCTCTATATAATGACCTGTTTATTCTAAATATTGGTAGAAGCTTTTCAACTACCAGCACAAACTGATTTTATTTTACTTTTTAAAATTATTATTTTTTAGAGAGAGAGAGAAGCATCAATTTGTTTCACTTATTTATGCATTCATTGGTTGCTTCTTGTCTGTCCCCTGACTGGGTACTGAACACGAAACCTTGGTGTTCAGGGACGACAGTCTAACCAACTGAGCTACTCCACCACGCACAAACTGATTTTAAAGAGGAAGCAAATTAAACCAAATTAAAAAAAAATTTATAACCCTTTAAAAGCAAGTGTTTTCTAGTATGTTGATTATATCTCCATAAAGCCATTATATAAAAAATAAATTTAAAAAATAGAAAATAATAAAAAATAATTTTTTTAAAAAAAGCAAGCATATTTGCTCAAAATGGAATGTGTGTGGCACCTGTAAGGAACCTACCAGTATAGAAAGAAACAGATTTTCATCCCTTGATGAACTGAAGTCAACCACATTTGGGCCTTGTCTAAGGTACATCACTGTGACTCTTGGACCACAGGGATTGTCATGGCCAATATGGTTTACCTGGCCTCTGGATCATATTGGTCTCAAGATCTCTTCTGCTGAGATGGAAGTGAGAGATGGCATCAGGACTATGTGCCCAGGAGCACTGCCCAGGACAGCCCTTGTTACCTGGCACTTACTGGCATATACTTGACCAGCTGCTCATCCCTCTGACCTACACTCAGTGCTGCCCTGGAATCAGAAATCTTCAAAGGAAAAATATTCTATGTTTGAGATTTTATTTTTCAGACTGGTAAGATATTGCTTTTTATAATAAACCAAAACTGGGAGGGAAAAACCTCCATTTCCTAATGTCTAAAACAAATCAGTTTGTTAATAAAGAAGTCATGTTTTAAAGAGGCATTTCTTTAGTTAAGTATTTATGGCTCTCTGATACCCAAGAAAGCAATTAGCTACATTATAACCTCTTAGGCAGGGCAACAAGCTTTACTAATTATATTCTCATTAACATGGTTTTATTTCACTGCTCTTGGTGGGAGTTCTTCCAACATCTTTGGCTGGTAGGGTACATGAGAGTCTTTTACCCACAGTGCTTAATTCTGCAAAGTGATTTGTTAATTTCTTATCAGGGGTGGTGCACAAAAGAGAAAAGTTACTAGGTATCCCATAAAGTAAAAATACTGTAAGTAAAACTATGAATTTACATACAGGATTTGTGATTTATCTCTGCTTAGTGAGACAAGAATGAATAAAAAATTGGGCATTGCCCAGGCAGTGTGGCTCAGTGGTTGAGCACTGACCTATGGTCCAGAAGATTGTGGTTCGATTCCCAGTCAGGGCACATGCCTGGGTTTCAGGCTCAATCCCCAGTAGGGGGCATGCAGGAGGCAGTCATTCATCATTGATGTTTCTCTCTCTCTCTCTCTCCCCCTCTCCCTTCCTCTCTCTGAACTCAATAAAGATATATTTAAAAAAATAAAAGTAAATTAGGCGTTAATTCTTTGCCATCAGGCCTTATATCTTTCTAGGTCTTTATTTTTCTCTCTATAACATGGAGTGAGAAATATAAACCTCATAGGACTGCTGTAAAAACGAGAAATTTTAAAGAAAATAGAAGCTCAGTAATCAATGAGCTTTAAAAACGCTACAATGACAGATGCTGCCAGACACATCCATCTGTCCAAATGATTAAAAACACTTCACATCGCTCCCTGTTTTTTAGCTGCAACTGTGGAGGGGCCACTGGCCGGGTTATAGTAACCTAGAGTTGATCTTGGCTTTCTGTCTTCTGGGAAGTCAGCAACGGGCTGGAATGGTTTGAAAGGAGAGTTCGCCTCCCCCTGCTGGGGTGTAACAGGCCTAGAAGCCCCTCCTGGTTAACCTCTGAGTGCTGTTGGTCACTATTACAGCACCTCCGAGGGAGGCATGACAGCAAGATCACTGGTTCTTAGAAATATTAGTTGGAGAAGGGGAAAGTGAGAGTTGTGGCCAGAGGGGGAGAAGAGAGTGGGTTACCCTTGAAGAGCGGATCACAGACCCGCTTTTCCCATTTCGTAATATCGATAAACTTTTGAAGTGCATACGCTTTGAACCATCAATTCCACTTCTAAAAATTTACCTGACAGGTATAATTGTACAAGGAAGCAAAAATACATGCAAAGGGCATTCACTGCAGCATTACTTGAATTCGCAAAATACAAGCTGCTGTTTAAAGAATGAAGTAGACAGATATGTGCTCATGTGGAAAGATGGCCAAGATTCATGGTAAGTGAAAAATTAGAGAGGACCATGTGTAATGCAATTCATTTCAATCTTAAAAAGATTTACCAATATATTTGTATATGCAGAATGGGAATTTGTGGGCCTTTATTTAATTTCTAATAAAAATCCAGCAACCTCAATCTAAAATGATGTCCCCATATAAAAAAGTGTTGAGAGAACAGGCCTGAGACTATCCTTAGAAAGGCCTGCTTACAGCCTTGACTTGGCTGGTGTCTGGGAACGTGGATTTCAGGAGGGCTTCCACCAAGCCCCTGATAACAGCTCACTGAGCCTAAATTGTTTATGCAAACGGTATGGTTTATGCCGAACACCTGCTCTCCTCTGGGAATCTGGAATTTTGGCACATGCCAGGCAGAGGGCACCTACATACCTGACTCCCCATTAACACCCTGAATACCCGGGCTCAGGTGAGCTGTCTGGTAGACATTTCGCATGTATTGTCTCAACTTACTGCTGTGGGAATTAAGCACATTCTATGCGACTCCACGGGGAGAGGACCCAGAAGCTCGCATGGTCGCCCCTGGACTGTATCTGTGCACGGTCTCCCTTTGCTCATTTGCTTTGTATCCTTTCACCGTGACAAATCACGACCAGGAGTAAACCATGTGCTGAGTTCTGTGAGTCCTCCTAGCAAACAACTGGCCCTGGGGTGACTTGGGGACACTCAACAAACCCCAATTATTCTTTTCCATAGCAACTTCTTGACCTTCACAGCATTACCAAAATTACTAAACTATACATGTTTTTCACTAGGCTGTAAGCTCCATGGGGTTAACCATATGTATTGTTATCACTACATACCACACAAATACCAACAGAATTAAAAATAAGGAAAAAAACCTCAGTTATTAATAAAAGATGATCTGTCAGGTTCCTTTTTTGATCCTGGAATCCCTAAGACACACTCAAGACAAAGCCAAACTCCACATTTAATGGTAAGTATCCAGCTCTCCTCACCACTGATTTGTGCTCCTCCCCGAAAGGAGAACCTTGTAATAAGATGTCAAGTTTGTCAGCCCTCTGAGGCCACTGTGAGACTAACAGGAAGGTCACAGGCCTCTAAGCTTCTATGAAACGCACAACGAGGCAAAGTGCTGCTAGTGCTCAAACCGTCTGCTTCTACACCTGTGGCTCCTCTCCTGTCCCCACCACCACCACCACCACCACCAGCCTTGTAAAGAATGAAATAAGTCATAATAACCACCATGGGCCAGAGGGCTTGGCAGGCTGTGAGGCTAATCTTGTGCTGAACTCCAAAACGATATTTACATTTCCCCAAAGCAAATTTGTCTCTGTAAAAACAAAATCCCTGATCTTCCAGATATCCGGAGATGACACCGGGCAGGGGTCTGTCCTTGGCCACCCACACTCTGGTACTAATTCAAATCCTCTCTAGACCCCTTGCCTCGGAGTCACGTGATTTAATGGGGTTTTACTTGCCTTTATGTTCTTGGGTCCATTTTGCTGGGTGCATTTCCTCCATTCTATTGTCTCACCCTATTGCATTCATCTAAGACTTACCCCGATGAGAAATTAATCTGCCATTTCTAATGTTATCAGGCCCCTTCAGTGAGTTCAGTATCACGTGGTCTGAGAGAAAGCCTCCTCAATCTGGGAGAGCCCTCTCCTGGGCTTCCTCCAAAGGGCTCAAGCCAGAACAGCAGCCACATCACGGCACCACCGGCCGGGACGGCGGCACCCACACTCCTGCCTGGCTGCAGGACTCTCCCACGCTGCTTCCTTCCAGTTCCTGTGTGTGTGTTTATCTGGAACGTAAGCACCTGCAGGGAGGGTCTGTCTCACTCGTCTCTGTACGACACCAGGTGTTCTTAGCGCAATGCCTCACAAGGCAGGTGCTTAATACATATTTGCTCACATGAATCGGTGCCTGGTTTCCTCGGCCTGTAGAATGGACATGGTATTTGCTATCTCTTGTTACAATCGTGAGAAGAAAAGAAATTCTGGAGATAACAGAAAGTAACATTTAAGATAGTAGATTTAAGTGTCCCTTAAATCCTGCCTCCTATCCCATGTAAGTGTCTGCTTACAGGCTGAATAAGTGCATTAGAAACGAAATGCTCTGGCTGTGGACACTCTTGCTCTCCTTCCCTGCTTCTCCTGCTCTTTACCTTGCTGGCCTTCAGGATGTTGATCTGCTCCTCATATACCGTGTCTCTGTTTTTCTCCAGGAAACCATCTGAAAGGTACTCCACCTGGGCCACAGGGGGAGACAGACAGGAGTCAGTGCTTGGGCCTGACCAGCTTCCTTGAGTGGTCTCATCTCATCCACACAGTGTTTTCTAAAAAGCAGTGGAAGTGGGAACCCCATGGATGCTCCCATTGAAAATGCAAACCCAAGACATGGCCGGGATTTACACAGAGGGAACTGGGTATTCATTTTGTGGGAAAACAAATGGTTTTCAAAAGGAGGTCCCTTTACTAAAAGGGTTCCATCGGGGGTGTAAATGTAGCTGTCGGCCACACTCCAGACCCACCGGATTAGCACTTGCATTTTAACGAGATTGCAGGTGACTCTGGTGCGCATGGAACTTGAGAAGCACTGGGTTAGTGCATATGGAACAGAAATCTACGGAGAAAAATTCTTAGCATCCACTAGCTCCTGGGAATGGAGCCACCCAAAGAGAGCACCCCTCTGTCTCCCTTTTTGTTGTTCTCTCTCAGGCTCCGGGAGTGTAGACTCCGACTCTGTTATAGCTGCTACAGTCCCAGGAAAGAGACCCTCAACAAATGCTTGTCAGGCATATAATGGAAACCACGACTGCCCCCGGGGTGCTGCCGTGTAGTGACTGGTTGGTGCACACGGAGATGGAGTGGGGGGGGAATAAAGGGTGCGGGGGACCCTACCTAAGAGACTTAAGGTTGTGTGTAACCTCACAGCCCAGAAACCCCTAGTCCAGCGAGGGCGGGGCTCACAGAGCCCAGAGCCCACGGGGGGCAACCCACCTTGTCGGCGAAGTGCACCACAATGAAGGCCGTGTTGGACATGCGGGGTTTCTGGAAGTGCTGGCTGCCGGAGTGCCGGTCATACAGCTTCTGAGCCCAGTTCTGGTCAGTGCCTTTAGGGACCTGCAGAAACACAAAACCAGCTGCTTTGTGAAGAGGAAAGGCGGAGCCAGGAGCTGAGGCAGGGGGATGGAATCTGCCAGGAAGTTGACTTCATGACCTTACGTGGATGTGGAAAATAGCATTCAACTGTGGACACGTATGTTCTCAGCCTGCCGTGTGGGTGGCCCCCTGCTGTCTATAAGAGTGTGCTGAGCCTGAAAGAACCTGCTGGTTTGTAGCTGCTGGAAGGGCTAGAAGAAGGTAAAGGTGGAGGCCAAGCTCACGGAGCAGAGTCACAACTCATGGAATACACCTGAAGAGGTTCCCTCCCTCCGGTCAGGTCAGTAACCTCAGTGTCACAAACATGCAGTGACCATCCGCAGCGCCACACTCCTGCTCACTCAGGCCAGTGGGCAGCGGGAAAGCCCACTCTCCCTCTCTAAGCTCATCTCTGGGCCTCTGCCCAGGTCAGCTCGCCTGTCCTTCTCTCTGAAGCCTTTCCTGACACTCAATCTCACTCTGGAATTCCTCCCAATTAAGTTGCTCATCGCTGATTTTTGTATATTGTCTTGTCACTACAAACCGTAAGCTTGTTGGGTTCAAGGACTAGGTCTTACTATTATTTTCCTGCCCCTCAAAGAACTGAAATTGGGTTCCAGCCACACATTGGGTACTAAGTACCTAGTGATTAAGCTATGTGGTACAGATCTCTGCCTCCCCCGAATTTAAATTTAGATGTAGAGGTTCCACTATATTAAGAATTCTGCTCCTTTCCATATCTTTAGAGATGGCTTCAAAAGTGAAACAGCATCTTGCTCTGCAGAAAATACAACAGTCACTGTTCTGATGAGAAGCGCTCCTCCTCTGTCACCCTTGAACACCCCTGCACACACCCAGGCCTCAGGTATGGGTCACCTGCAGACCTGCCTTTCATTAGTTTAGATTGTCCATTTGGATCAGGCAGGGTAGAAGGTGACCCTGGTACTAGCTATTTAAAAAGAGCTTTGTTTAATAAATTAGTAAAATCTGTGCCATAAGGAAAATGCTTACACAGTTCAGAACCAATTTCTCAAATACTTTGTAAGCAAATGGACTTTTCTCAGTATTCAATGTGGCATAACTAGTATTGAATATTCAGTGTTGAAAGCCGTAGGAAATTCAAGAAAAGAAAACATTTTCTTGAAGGAGGCTCTTAATCGTGTTAGGCAGACAAAATAAAATATATCTAATTCAGCATTTTTTATATATAGTTTTATATTTGTCTCTGAGCGTCCTGTATTTAGAAACACCAGGTATGGGGGAAGAAAGGGTCAGATGGAGGACAGGAACACAAGGGACCCAGGACTGGCTGGCAGAGCTGGTGTAGACAGAACACGAAGGGCAGGGCTGTGATGACTGCCCCGCCTAAGTCAACACATATATTTGCTGGTATCAAAATCATCTTGTGTTGGCAATGAAATTGGACTTCTGTCCAAAGACTCCGTAATCCTACATATGCACTAATTTAGACTGGCATGAATCAGTAAGCAAGGTCATGTGTACACACATTTCCTGATGAGAGTCACCCCCCACCCTCAACTGAAAATATGGGCCAGCAAGAATTCACAATTAAGATTCTCAGAGAATATACAAAGCGAATGCCCACAGTGCTTATTATTTGCCAGGCAATTTTCTATATATTTTAGATGTAGCAACTCATTTAATCATCACAATAATCCTATTAACTAGGTACTATGTTTATACATATAAAATGTATATGTTTAAACATGTTTATATACTACATTAACATTTTATAGGCAGGGAAGCTGAGACAGAAAGGGTAGGTAACTTGCCCAAGGACACACAGCAGGGAAGTAGCAGAGCTGGGGTTCAAGCCAGGACAGCTAGCTCTGGAGCACGTGCTCTTTGCTATTATGTTCTCCTGTCTGACAACAGTTTTAAAGGCAGCCAAGAAGGGAGAGTTAGGTGGAAGGCATTTATCTCCAGAAGTCTTTCCATAGAAGCAGATTTAAAACAGGCATAGGAGAAAGAAAACCTATCTTCTATTCTGATAAAATCTAGATTGTAGCTATCAGCAGCTCTGGAATGTGCAGGGAATTGAATCCTTTAAAAAAAAGTGTACAACTGACTGTTTCTTACCATTGAAATTTGAATTGTGAGATAGGTTTTCTTGAATTGTTAGGGTTTTTTTGAAGTTCAATTTGTATTTGTAAAAGGACCACATGACCCCCCGCGATACACATACACTATATGAACACCAAAACTGTTGTGTTTTCTATTTATCTTTGATTCCAATTATTTAAAGAAAAATAATTTTTAAAAGTCTAGGGGGAAAAAAGGTATACTTGGCTTCAATAAAGCATCTTTACTCTCCTCTTAAAGTCACATGAAGAGAGCAATGGGTCAGGAGGGAGCCTTAATCTCAGCTCTGCCCTAATCAAGGCAGGATCTGTCCCTCAGGGGCCTAGTCCCTCTGACCTGCTGTGTTGGCCAATGGTTGCATCAAAAGTGAAGGTCCCTTCTATATGAAATGTCCAGAATAGGCATATCTGTAGAGCCAGGAAATTGATTATTGGTGGCCTAGGGCTGTGGGGAAATGGGGCCCTTTTTGCCATCGCAGAAACCCCCCAGGACTCTGTTGTCCTAATAGCTCTCTAGCTGGCCATGGCTCCCTCCTCTCCACCTGGCAGCCATTCCCAGGGACAGGTCCAGGTCTTTGCTTTTCCACATTCACAAAACACCCCTCTCTGTGCTCACCAAAACAATTCTAGACTGATCCAAGCACCCATCCTGTCCTTTCCCACACCTGGTTGGCTGGCTAGGATCACACATCAACTCCTCTTCTGTTAATCAAGTCCTGCTGATAATTTAGTATAATTTAGTGTTACTGCCAAAAACTAATCAAATTCCACTGTGAAAATCACTTCTGTGGATTAAGACACTGTGCCTAGATCTAAGCTGGGAGTTGGCCCCAACAATGCCTATATCTCAATTTCTGGTCTTTGATCCCAGCAAACAGATCTATGTACTCTGCTATTTCTCTCTCCTGTTTATAGCACAGCCATTCCCCTCTTCCTGCATTCTCAGGCTTCCAACCCTGCCTGCCAACTCTAAGCAGATGCCTCATGTCCTCCCTCATAGGGAAACCCAGTCAAGCAAATCTCAAATTCCTGCTCTATATCTAGAAACTCATCTGCATCCACAGCAGCTACCCCACCTACCCTTATCACAGGAAGCGTACCTCCTTATAGCTGGCATCCTATCCACCCACGCCCTGCTTCCTGGGGACCAGGATCCCCATCTTCGCTCTCTCCCTGAATCCTCAGCTGCTCACTTCCCTGCCTTTCCTCTGTTTCACCACCTCCTTTTTACATCCAAGTCCCTACAAAGGAATTCAAAGTTACCATCTCCACTGCCTCACTTCCTATTCTTTCCTCAGGTAACTGGAATTAGGCTTCTGCCCAGCAGTCCTTGGAAACTGCCTCAGAACAGTGTATTAATTAGGAAAGTCCATCCCAGTTAGCAATCCAGGAAGGGCTCCATTAAACAAAAGAACCCTAGTCACATAGGGCAGAGCCTGCCCCCCAACCCCCTATCCAGGCCTGTCTTTGAGGGCCCCTGGCACCTTCTCTCCAATCTGAGACAATGTCTGTATTTTTACTCACTAGAATTGCTTCCAGGGGTTGAGGTATTTTCAGAAAATTCCTGCAAAAATGCAACTATGTCACTGATGAGGAAAGACGCACTGACCTCTTATTTCCTATCAGCCCTAGTTCGTTTGTTCCCCAGGACTGGGGCCCGGGGAGGGCAGGATATGCCCGGTCTGAATAGGTTTGGATATGGCTCATGTCATGCAGCCACCAAAGCAGCCTTAGAGAGCACTGGGGGCTGAGTTTTGTTAAAAGCAGCCTGGAAATGAACATTTCATGAGCAGTTTAATATTCCGGTCCCCACGCCTCATGTGCAGCTTCCAGCACCAATCACAGGCTCTGGAGACAGCTACCCTATGTGCTCCCCTTTACACTCATGGCCACCCCATCTCCATGTTTCTAATTTAAGTCCCAGCTCACTGGCCCTGCTGCCACTGGCTGTCAAATCCAGGAAAAGCGATTTTCCCAGTGGCTGCTTTTACACTGCAAGTCTAATCCTTCATTTGGCTTTGTGTCCTGTCACACGGGGGACACGGAGCCCAATTCTTCACAATGCAATCTCATTACTCTTTCTCACCCTGCAGAGGGTATCTGAGCGACAAGGAGGGAAGGGACGTGTCTGAGGCAGCTCCATGTCCAACAGGAAGCCAAGCTGCCTGGTAGTGACCAAGTCCATGGGAATTCCTAACCTGCTTTGGTTCAGAGCCATGGGCACTTCCAGAAGCGTGCAGCAGGCTGCCCTAGGGTTTAAAGTCAGACTTATTGCTGTATAATTCCCATGCAGTAAAATGCACCCTTTCTAAGTGTACAGTTCCACGTGTTTTGACAAATGTAGTAACACCTGTTGGGTTAAAATCCACCTGTTACTAGAAGCTGCATCGTCATACACTGGACACTATGGATTCCCAGAGCAATTAAGCCTGGCAGAAAAAGATTTCCACATTGGGATTCTGTGTTATTCCTTAATTTGGTGGTGTTCTTGCCTCTCTTGCTTCACCCATGACCTCGGCCACCAGTGTGAGTTTAAACATGTCACATTCACAGCACTATCCACATCTCAACACTTTGAGCCCCACCAGCTTGACTGGCAGGAGCTCCAGGCTATCCTCAGACCTGCCCTCTAAAGAGCTTTTGGAAGGAAGATGCAAGGAGATCCAACAGGAACCACAGCAGCTGCATGGAACTCAGAAGTCTTGAGTTGGCATCACCTGTCGTCCATTCTATTTAGCTGTCACCCTGCTGCCCTTGGGCTGTGGCCCATTGCTCTTCCAGCCTGCACTGGGGCCCTGGGTCCTGCCTGCAGCCCTCCCCGGGCCCCACCCCCACTCACTCAGGCGAGCTCCCCAGGAGCACTATCCTGTCCCTCCTCCCTTGCTGGCCAGCAGGGAGATCCCTCCCTCCCTCCCTTGTCTCCTGAGGATTTTCCCTCAAGACCAGACATACAGTAAATGCATAGTACATTCTGGGTATATGATGAGCTGCAGTGGCAAGAGTTTGAATTGAATACAGTCTTAAACTGAAATCACCTGATTTTACAAATCTGACCCAAACAGAGGCTCCACAGAGCGTAAGGCAGAGATCATCCACCTCATTGGACTTTACTTTGTCTCGGCTTCTCAAAGTAAAATAGATTCCAACAGGGATGCACACGCAGTGGGTGCTCAGTAGGCAAGCTGAGAGCAGGAGGGTCTGGGGATTCCACTTGCACTGGGAACACCCAAAGCTGCAAAGTCCAGGGACTGGGGACGTCACTTTCATAACTGCTCAATGTGGTTTGCATGCTGGGTCTCCCTGCGACCACTGCCTACTTTTCTGCCGCCTACTAGGAGCTCCCCACCACTCCCGGGACCACCTGCTCTCAGCCCCACACTGCTCTGGGCTTCCCCTCGTGGCTGTCTCCCACCCTCGGAAGAGCAGCCTGAGGTCTCTGCACCTGTGCATTGGGACCAGTGCTCCCACTACTCTGATGTGACATTCCTGTGACATGTTCCCCTGGGTGGAGTCGCCTCTCAGATCCTCAAACCACAGGCCCAAACAAACCCATAGTGGGCAAACCCTCCTCTGCCCACTAAATGCAGGCTGAATCACTGAAAGTTAATCAGGCAGCTGTTCAACTCGCAGAATCAATCATCTGAAGTGCTTTGGTGTTCTTATTAGAGGTGTGTGTACACAGGAAAAGAGAGGCCATGCTTCTGAGGGTTAGGCTTTATGTCACAGCCAGCTCTCTATCACAGAGCCAGGTAGACCAGTGCAAGACAAACTGCTTGCCTCATGTACTCCTCAGAATTGTGTAGACCTTGACCTTCACCCCTGGGGAGGGCAGTGAAGTCCCATGGGTGGAGTCCTCCTGGATCCGGGGCCTGAGGGCAGCTACACTGGGTAGAACATAGGACATGGTGTCACCTTTGGGTTAGGGGTGTGGAGCTGGAGATGTTTACAGACAGAATCTCAACAGAGACTGGGAGAGTGGGAAGGGGAGCATGTTTCTGCAGAGCATGAGAAGGGAGCTGTTGGCAGTGGACACCGAACCAAGAGAGTGAGTGAGCCTGTGCTGTGACTTCAGTCACTTAGCCAGTGCCACTTCATGCAGGGACAACTGTCCTATTAGCTGTACTGCAACGTCACAGGTGGCGCATGCCCAGGCACACCCCTCCACACTGAGGAATTACCCCTGCCTGGATCGCACTCAAGACAAAGCCCATGGCTCTGAAGAAACTGAAAAACGTTAGGAGATAAAAATGTGCAAGCTGTGGACTTCAGTATATTTTCACTCACTATCTACTGTTCTATTAACTGTTCCTTTTCCTTTTCATGCGCAATGAAACTAGGAGAGCCCTCTGGAGGGGAAACACCTCCTCCTCTCCAACCATCCAGCCACCCTCCATCCTTTACAGGCAAGATGTGGGAGACCAGGAGGAAACGCACCTGCACTCTTCCCTTTCAATACAAGAATTGTGTGGTTTCTACACCTTTTGATCCGTGTGTCTATCCCTGAGGAACTGGTATATATTCACCTCCTTATCACCAACCAATAAACCAGGAGAAATTTTGAAGCTCATCAGATCCAACCCCCACCAAGTCATAGAGCAGCAAACCAAAGGCCAAAGATGTTAGGTAACTGACAGCACCCAGATTTCCTGCCCCACAGTCCCAAGGCTGCCTGGTTCTCTCCACACTGGCAATTCAGGACTCTTCCTGTCCGGCCAGGTAGAGTCCACCAAAAGCTAGGTGGGGCAATCATGGATCTCACCTGCTACCAAGCCATGCAGCTCTATCACTCACAAGCCATCTGGCACAGCCAAGGTGACCCTGGGCTCCTGACCCTCACTTTCTGGGGATGCCTGTCTAGTTGTGGAGGTCCTTCTCTCAGAACCTAAGATATCTGGGGCATCAAATCCATACCACCTTCACATCGTGCCAATCATACCACCCGGTCTTTGCCAAAAGAGGCAGCACAGTAAGAGCAATACATCCAGTCACATTACCTTCTAGTACCTTCTGGTATACAGAATGGACACCAGTGCTTCTCTCTGTATACTAGAGGACAGCTAATTACAGATGAAATTCCAGCTTTGAGATCCCACAGGTTGCCCTGCACCATCCAGCTCTCCTCTGTCCCAGCCCAAGCCTAGAACTGGCCTAATTCAATGACAGCATCATCAGTTTTACCTTACATTCTTCATCCAGCAGGTCTAGGATGCCCAGCTTAGCTTCAATGAGATCGATACAAGGTTGGTTATCATAGAAATCAATCAAGGTCCAAGGGATCTGCTCCTTCATGTATTCTTCTTGCTCCAGTTTGAAGACATGCTAGGGTAAGAAGTAGAAGGTCAAGGTTAGTGAACTGCATGCACACCTTAACGTTCATCTCCCCTGAGCTGCAACCATGTGAGTTCTGAGTCCTGGAGGCTGGTGCACACCCACCACAAAAGGTTTGGGCACTGAGTCACAGTCATACTTGCAAAAAAGAAAAGCTTAGTTAGGTGATCCTCACTCCCACGTGAACCTTTCTCTAGGAAATTCTAATCATCGCCTGTGATGCCATAACCCAACCAATCACAGGAAGCTTGCAATTGCTTAAATACCCCAGAAGCCCAGGCTCAGGAGGAGTGGGAGTTAAAGCCAAGAGGAGGATCCTTTACCCTCATAACCCAGCTGCCCCATTCAGACCTCCTCTTAAGTAGAGGGGAGCGCCTTCCTAAAGCTGGGGCACCACCAGGAAACCAACAGACGATCAGGGAAGAGCCAGAGCCCACTGACCCTGGATGGAAGAGAAGTGGCCAGGGCTGTTGCTCTCAGGAAGACAAAGGTCCCCCCTACCCTGAAACCCCAGGTCCAGAAAGCGAGCCTACCGAGTTGAACTGCTGCTGGAGTTTCTCATTCGCGTAGTTGATACAAAACTGCTCAAAGCTGTTTACCTCAAATGTCTCAAACCTGCAGAACAGAAAGAGGACAGGACCAAGTAAGAGCCGTTTCCTGTTACCGAAGGAATCCCCGGGACCACCGAGGCTGTCCATTCCCCTCCACTCCCAGCACAGAGGCCCTGTTTTCTGCTCCTGTGCCTAAGGAGACCACTGTTGCAGGTACCAGCAGGGCAGAGTCCTGTGAAATTCGGAGAGTAAGAATGCAGATCTAGTTTCATAATTAGAAAATGTACCAGCAACAGGAAAATTTAGAAAAAAAAGCAAATACAAAAGAGAGGAAGTCGCTCACCCATGAGTCTACCACTCAAGTCTGACCACCAGTTACATTTTGGTAGGTTTCCTTTCATTGACTTTACATTTTTAAACAAATCAGAATTATATGTAAAATTAGACCTATTTGTATCATTTAACTCTCCATGGCAAACACTTCCTCATGCCATTGTTCCTCAAAAGCATCCGTTTTAATATCTGCCTCCTCAACCATTGTATGGATTCACCTGAGGATTGCACAGGGCGCCCAGGTGAGGGGAAAGGTGGGATTGAAATTTGGCTGGCGCCCCCCCCCCCAGGTCTGGGAGTGGTTGTTCTCCCCAGAGGGGGTGCCTTTTGCCAAATGACACAAATGCTCGTCATGGACTGGCGGTGCCCCCACACAGATGAATCGTAATTTAACCATCTCCTACTGAGGAACATTTTGATTTCCAGTTTTCAGGTTGTGATGCTATGACAAATACTGTATGTACATCTTTTGACTTCATGATTCTTTCCACAGGAGGTTATCCTAGAAGGAGAGATACCACATCAGAGTGTGGTTTCTTAAAAGGCACAAGCAAAGTAACTTCCAGAAAGGTGTAGCCAATTCATGCTATCACCCCACCCCCAGCCCCGCCTGTATGAAAGTGTCCCAGTGTATGAAAGTGTCTTGTTCTCCTAATACTGGGTAAGGATTTTTTTTTCTTTTTTAAATTCATGGTTATTGTGTTAGAGTTTACAAACAATCAGATGCAGCAAATTTAAGGGTGTACTTGGATGAGCTTTGACAAATGTCATACAATGTGCGACAACCACCACAACTCATCACTCCACAAAGTTCCCGTGTTCCACTGTCGCCCCTCACTGGGAGTATTCACGTACCACAGCTCTCTGGTCCACAGTGTGGATTCATTTTTAAAAGCCTTTGGCGACTTAGCCCATGAATAATGTTTCTGATTGAATTTTAATCTCTGGTCATTAGTGGAGCACAGCATTTTTCTGTAGGTGGGTCCCAGACATCTGTACATCGTGAATTATCTGTGACCGCTGAAGTCTTTGTTGGGTTTTAACTTTAAAAAATGGATGTGTTTGAACTACTTATCTTTTATGAACTTTGTCATTTACTCATCAACTCAAAAGTTTGCAAACGGTTCAGTCACTGCGGAGGAGGGGGAAGGTGAAGCCCGCAGAGATGGGTAAAGAGATGAGACATGGCACTCTGGCTGCTGTCACTCAGTGGTTAGAGCATCGGCCATGCACCAAAGGGTTGCAGGTTTGATTCCCAAAGGCATGTACCTGGCTTGCAGGTTCAGCCTCTTGTCCCAGTCAAGGCTCATGCAGGAGGCAACCAATCAATGTGTCTCTCTCACATCGATGTTTCTCTCTCTCTCTCTCCTCCACCTTCCCTTCCTTCCACTCTCTCTAAAGATTAATAGAATATGCTCAGGTGAGGATTAACAGAAATAACATAAAAAGAGATGAGACGTGGCATTACAGAGCTGGGCAGGGGTCCTATCTGGGGGCCTTAGATGCTATACTAAGGGATTTTACCAGGGGCAATGCAAGAATTTGAAGGATTTTTAAACTGAGAAATGACAATCAGATTTGCATTTCAGAAACTGGCAGGAGGGTGGAGAAAACTGTGATTTGGGGGAAGGTGCGTAAGACAGAAGGCAGTTATCACTGCAGCAATAATTTCAGGCAAGATCCAATCAGGGCTTAACCAAAGCTGGGGGTGGCCAATTAATGGAAAGGTTCTAAAGATACTGAGGAAGGTGGAAATGAGAGGACTTCAAATGACCAATGGAGTGTACAGGTGAGGGTCACTTGCACAACTAGATGGGTGTGGCACAGCTCATCAAGCTGGGAACATTATAACAGCATCGGCAGCTTCAGCTACAAAGGAGTGGGACCATCTTGCATGTTGAGCAATGTCATCAGACTGAGGCAGTGGAAAGGGAAGAAATCTAGGAGGAACAGGTGCCTTTTTCTCGTGCACACAGAAGACTGAACGAGCTGGCAGCGGCCCTGCTGATGAGCGCCTAGAGAGCGCTAGGCCCAATGCTTCATGAGCTCTTGCTCACTTACGGCCCTCAACAACCAAGAGCTAGGGTGCGTTAGTAATCCCATTCTGCAACTGAAGGAATGAGGTACGGGAGATTAAATAACCTGCCCCAAATCAGAGAGACAGAAGGCACAAGAGTCAGTAGTTGGCCCTAGAGAGTCTGATTTCTGAGACCACATTCTTAATTTAGAGAAGAGTGAATGTTTCACTAAGAAAAGAAGGAAGTGGTGACTCGGAAGGGCTGTGAACAAGGCCAGAAGAGGAGGTATTTGAGCACATGGAGAGAGGTGATACCAACAAGGGACCCGGGGCTGGGGGCACAGGCGTCAGCCTTCTCCATAACCTTAAATCTTCACCTCTCTCAGTTTTCATTGTGGACAACAGCATTTTCTCAATCTTACATCAACTGACGTCAGCCCTTCCAAACAGACTGGGCTCCATATGGACCATTCCCAAATAAAAATGTTGGTGCTGCCCTAGTGGGGGTAGGAGATGGTGGTGGTGGCGAAGAAGTCCTCTATGCAGAGGAACCAGCAAAAATAAATGCATCAGACACCCAGCGGGGCTGGGTCAGTGCCCAGAACACCTCAGGCTTCCCCTTCCTCCTCTGTATGCACCTTCCCCACCAAAGAATAAGACATGAAGAGGCAAGAAGTCATTTGGGGATCAAAGGAGTCAACTGCTTGTCAACAACTGCATTAAAAACAGCCTTTGGTCATGCCCACGGAGGAGAAGTCAGTCTAGGTTAATAAGACAAGATGAAAGACGCAAAGTCCAAGCTGGGGCTGCACTGCAGAGCGAGTAGGAGGGAGGCCCTGTGTCTGCCAGGCGTTACTGTGGTTTGCGGCCCTCTCAGTCCAGATGGTGGTCCTACAGACCTAATTATGACACTTAGGACCTCATTTCCTCCCCACCGCACCCCAAGAAAGGTTGCTAACGCCAGCCAAGCCCCAGAGGAAATTTAATTAATAAAACCTAGAAGGAAGATAAAAGAGTCACCCTAGCAACTGGCCAGATAATAGCAATTGCATGTGCTTGCAGGGTTCTACTGAGCTCCACAGATAAAGAATTTAAATATCTCCCACTTATCATTTTTTAAAGGTTTACATTGATAGCACTCCACAAAGAACATTCTCATTAATTTGAGATGGACTGAAATTAGCTCATAATTTCCCTATTTCTAAGATATTATCTGGAAACAATTCCTCTGCCATCCAGGATAATTACTGTAATGCGGAAGGGCCGGAGATGAATGAGGGGTTTGGGTGGCTTGGAAAACGTCTAAGATGACTGATCTCAGAAAACCACAGGCAGGGAGATAGGGCAACTTCTCCTCTGCGGTGGAATTATATTTGTAGTAATTCTTCCTACCAAGAGATGACTTTTTAAAATAAACAAAATGAATCAATTTCTAGTTCATAACATTAACATGTCACAAAGATTTTATATACTAGAGGGAATTGGATTTCCCCTATAAAATCAATGTTGACACTATTTAGACCAAATCCTTGGTTGGGAGGAAGGTCAGAACACAGACCAAGACTTGACGCTGAGACCTGAGATCTGTACTGGTGGTGGTCCCAATCTCACCCCTACTTCAATTTCCTCCTATCTTCAAAAAGTAGTAGAAAAATCATTTCCTTCTCATTCTACCCCAATTTCTGAGTGTGGTAAGGGTCACCAATGCCTCTATAAATGAGGTAGTGTTTGTCCGAAAGTGAAACTGCAATAAAAAATAAGTAGACCGGTCAGAGTTAATTATTAACCTCCACGAACCTCTCACTCTAGGGCAGAGAGGCAACGAGATGCTTTGAAGTTTGGGAAACAGTCCTTCCTGCAGAGCATGGGTCAAAGGACCGGGAATCTCTTAGGTCCGCCTCGTCTTTCTATTTTACCAAGATCATTGACCATTCCACCAAAGGTTGCGTGAGAAGACAAATACTGTATGATTCCATACATATGAAGTATTGATTCCACTTATACGAATTATATAAAGTAGCAAAACTCACAGAAACAGAAAGTACAGTGGTGGTTTCCAGGGGCCGGCAGGAGGGAAAATGGGAGCCGTTCAAAGCTACCAAGATCTGTTGCGCAGCAGCGTGAATATACTTAACCCTACTGAACTGTACGTTTGAAAATGGTTACGATGGTAAATTTTGTTATTTTCAAATGACATTTAAAAAAATTATCTTAAAAACACATCATTAAAAAGCCCTGAAGAGAGCTGGGTGCTAATTTTAAAGTTAGGAAGTAACACAAGAGACACAGAAAGTATCTGTGAGGGATGAGAGGAATATAAAATCCCAGCAAATCCCATTTCCTGCTTCCAGGGGCCCGAACACCCCTAAACCCCCTCTGTATCATTCTCCTAGGGTTCCTCAGCATTAGGCATGAATCTATAACCCTGCCTTGCTCCAAAAGTCTAAGCCAACTGCCCTCATCAAGAACAGGCTGGGCACAGCCAAAGCTCCCTGCTACCTTGGCATGTTGAAGGCTCAAGTCAAAGACAAATAAATGTGTATTTTTTCCCAAATTGAAGCCATTTATTTCTCGTTGCCTTGAGGAGGGCAGAGCAATAAAGGATTATGGCTGCGATTAATCAAGCCTGTAGAGGCAAGCGCTGGTTAATGCAACGTGAAAAGGAAACCCCAGCCAAAAGCTGCCTGGCTCTTTCCTATTAATTTCCATCCCCTGCCTGGTAAGAAGTACCCTGCAGGCAGCTTCACAGATCCTTAGTTAAGAAAGGGACCTTGGCTTGGGTTGGCTAAATTGCTCTGGGTGTTGCTTGCTTTGCACTTTTTTGGAGCAGGGGCAGGGGAGAAAGGTGTAGGGAAGCCACCCTTCTACTGGGGCACTGGGTGTCGAAATAGATGTTGGGAGAGTCTCAGGGAAGGGCCTCTAGCTAGGGACTCATCAGAGGTGTGTGGTGGAGGCAGCTGTGGCCCATGCAATTTATTAAGGTGTTCAGAGCCTTTTCTACTGTCTGAACTACCTACCAGCTACCACAGCATAAAAGGGAGTGAGTTACGATGCTGGCTCGTGCACTGTTTGCTTACATATATAGAGGAGTGTTTGTTCATTCTGACTGCTGATTCTATAGTAACACGTTAAACATTTGTAGAAAAATCTGGAGTGGCTCATCAACACTGCAAACTCTTTTCAGTTGTCTGTAGCATGAGCTTGACTGGAGAGCCAACAATGATACAGACCGGAGCCACAGTTCATCTGGGGACAGTGATCCCAGTGGAAGTACTCAGTGCCTACCTGTGGGGCGATTCCACTCTTTATTTGCTAGCTTTGCACATTTCTAGCCTGAGAGAGGGAGACAACTCCTTATTCCTTCCCTCTTAATGAACGGGCTTTAATGTATTCAGAAACACCTTGCACCACCCTTCCCATCCTCTCCAGCTTCTCACTGTGATTCTGCTCACAGATGACAGAGAGGGGTAAGATCAAAGACATTATGTCATCCCAAGGGAATCTCCTATGTGTACCAAGTATCCCCACAGTAGGGCTGAGAAACAAGGAGTGCGACAATGGATAGATGGTCTTCTCCCTCTCCAGGTGGTCAGGGATTTGGGTAGAAAACTCAAAAAATAAAGAATGCTGGCGTTTTCTGATGCCATGGAGGATGACAGTCTCCTTAGAGAGAATCACTTCCCATAGTTATATCATAAATAAAACCTGAAGAGAGGAATTAACTTGAAATGGGAGGAAGCTGGTTAGAGAGGTGGAGTGTCACATGTGATGACCACTTCTGGATAACTGAGGGATGACCACATTAAAAAAAAAAAAGATTCAGTGGGTTTCTGGAAGGTGTCTGAAGTCCAAAGGAAATAAGCGGAAAGACACCATGACTGGGAAAGGGAGGTGACAAAAATCAGCTCAACACACGTCACCCCAGATGCCTATCCTTTTGTCCCAGGCTAAGAAATGATGCCACTGACCTGATGGATCAGAAACAGTACCTTCCAAATTCAAGTCACCTGCTTTCCTGTGGTGAAGTGCTTGGTTTTAAACTAGGAGTTCACTACATACACTCTGACCAGAAAAGAGAGCCTAGGCCAGTGCAAAGTTATGCAATGATTTTTCTCGGCAGACCAGAAGGAGCACTCGTGTGTGCCTTCGGGGACTGTCTGTGAGCGCTTTCTGGCAACACATGGCCCTGAATGTAGCCACCTTGTTAACGCTGAGCCCGCCTTGTGTCTAACTTGCTGTCTCGAACTCTGCCCGTAGGGTGTGTGCTCAGCACCACACTGAGCATACGGGAGGAGTAACCCTGTGTGGCAGTTCTCTCTGGGAAAGTGAATCACTTTTTAAACATGACCCCTTTATGACATGGTTTGCAAAAGTAAATTAGCTTCTGAGAAAGAACAAGGACTTAAAAAGAAAAGAAAATAGCATAGCATGTCTGAAAGGAAGCCCAAAGGATAGGAGAATTCCCAAGAGGGCTTGTAGGTGGCCCCATGCTGCTTGGCCGGGTGATGGGACCATGCTCTCATGGGACAGCTGTCAGATGTTCTCAAAGGAACCCATGGCCACTCTGAGGTGAGGGAGATGCACAGGTCAGGAGTCGGAACCAGAAATAGGAGCCGGAATCCTCGGGATCCCCACCCATCCATGGACAAGTCTACCTGTCAAACCACAGATAAGCATTCCCCGCAATCTGTTTCTCCCTCTGGGCAGTCACAAGATGTTAGAGAAAATTATTTCAGTTATAAAAATTAAATATAAGCACAAAATCCCAGCTTGCATGAGATGAGCCCCGACTCAGCAGCACCAGGAGCCCAACTTACAGAGGCCCCTCAACAATGAGCAAAGCCTTTTCCTGGGGATCCTGGGGAAGGGAGGAAGCTGTCCATTCAGACTCGAGGCACTGCTGAGACAGTGTGTAACTAGAATAGAACTGACCTTTGAGATTTTACATATCAGTAGCACTGAAGTTGTATTTTTACATGCTATTAACAAAGAATCTGCATGTTAACCTTCCCGAGTTGAAAGCTCAGTAAAATTCTATTCTTGCCCAGGTAGATGAAGGTAATCGGGTCGGATGCTGCAGCCTGAGTTTCTTTGGGTCTTACTTCAGAAGGTAACACTAAAGGTCAGTTTTTTTGGCAATCCAATTACCAGAAAATGCTCCTGGCAGAGGGAACAATGCAGAATTAATTACGGATAGTTGAGCAGTATGTCCCCAGGTGCACAGACTGTTCTGTGCTGTCCCAGAGCAACTAGAAGTGCTGAACACAAAAGCAGGCTCTTGACTGACCAGAAGGAGCAGGGACCTGCCCACGGTCACTCAGCTAAACGCCTGAAGCTCCCAGAGAGGATGCATTCTCCTGCTTCCCATGCTGGGGTGACCCTCCATTGTTTGTTCCCCAGCACCTAGGAGGTTTTCTTTCACACTTTGCTCTTTCCTACTGACCTGACTGTGCTCCTATTCCTAAAGATGCTCCCCCTCCCCTATATGCTTCTCCCTGCTTTTAAAAGATCCAGTTCAAACCTCACTGCATAAAGCTTTCCCTGACTGTCCAACAAGCGTGTTCTCTTCCACCTTAAAACTCGTTCAGCGCTAAGTGTCTGAGCCCTCCCCTGACCCTGCTCCAATTTCTCCTATTGCCTCCTGGGTGACATAGCCTGTGCATGTGACATAACTGTTTAGCATGTTCTGGAGGCTTTTGTGATGCAAGAAATCAGCTTCCTTCTTCTGCAGTTATCTCCACAGCCGGCACTGTGGCTCGATTTGAGGCTCAATGATGAACAGGAGCAGAGGAGATGCCATGAGGGCCGGCTGCGAGGGGAAGCGGCCACTTTTAGAAGACAGTCTCCTTAACTATGGCCTCAACATAAGGTTATTCCAGCTCATCAGCCTCCTGAACAGTTGTTTCCACTAGAGCATCATTGTTCTTACAACTCTGTGCTTCTATGGGTCTGAATTTCTATTTTTAGACAAAAGCCACAATTCCTATGATATAAAAATCCAGGAGGACATCTATTATTAGCTTAAAGAGAGGAGGGCACTGATCATAGAAGTGCAAGGGAGGCTGCAACCCAGTACCTATCATTTCAAACAATTCTACAAGGATTAGAAAGAACCTCAGAAAGGCTGTGGCTCAAAACTTCACTTCATACGATGAGAACTAAAGCTCAGAAAGGGGCTGTGATCTGTAGGGAGTCATTCAGCAAGCTGGTGACAGCAAGGAATCAAAACGGCAGTCTCCTGATGCCTAGTCAAGCAGATGTCTGACTGTGCTGTGTTGCCTCTCCCTGCAGAATAGGCTGTGATAAGTAACAACGGTCCTTCCTGTCAGGTTAGAATTCTGAAAGGAAGAGAAACCTCAAGAAAGAACACACAACACAGATCCGCATAGTGCTGGGCAAGATTATGTCATTAAAATGACCACCTTGATTGACGATCCAGTGAATAAAGTCAAATGCAGATTTAAATAAAATATAACTGAGATACACCTGAACTTAAGTTCACAGCAACTTTCAGTCTGATGTTGGGCAAGACACTTTCCTCTCTGGGCCTGTTTCCTGGTTATAAAAACAGATAACTACAGCGTTTCTCAATGGGGAAGCTACTTGTGTTTGGACAGGGTCCACTATTCCTCGGGACTGTCCTCCATATTGTGGGACAGTCCACCCTAGGCACTGTGACAACCAAAAATGCTGTTCATGTTTCCATTTCCCTGGTTGAGAACTGCTGGGGAGGTCCCCCAGGCCCCCGCTGGCTCAAAAATGCCAGCAAGAAGACACTAATGATTACCCGGTGGAGAGGAGGCAGGGGGAAGGGTGGGGCCTACCCACCCATAGATGTCCAGGACGCCGATGAAGGAGTGCTGCTTGAGGGAGGTGTGCAGGGCCTTGTTGACGTGCTCTACGATCCAGCAGAACAGCTGTGCGTAGATGTGCTTGGCCAGGGCATTGCGTGCGTTGACCACCTGCTGCAGGGACATGGTCTTGACGTAGGTCTCCGAGGTGGTGATCAGCTTGCGATGGCACAGCCAGTGCTCCATCTGACTGTGCTCCACCCCCAGCAATTGGCAGAAGTTGTTGAGATGTTTATCCTGGGGCTAGAAGAGACACAGGAAGATGGTTCAGGAGGAGTGTGGTGGGGAAGCCCACCAAATGCCCTCTTCCCTCCTGCCTGGGGAGAGAATGAGCCCCCGTACCCCCCACTTCTTCGATAGACATCTCACTGACACTCATTCTGTTAAGTGGACATGACAATTAGGGCCTGAAAAGTGTTGTTCAAACTGATCGTTATACTTGCCACTGACCAAATTATCAGGGCTTTAGCAAACAAAAACTTGCTCCACTTTTCCTGTCCCTTCCTCTACTGGTTGCCGAGTAACTGGTAGGAGAGGGCATCTCGACTGAAGGGAGCAGAATGAGAACTGATAGCTTAGGAACGGATAAAACCATTAAGAGTAAGGAGCCGGAGGGCAGCAGAACCACAGTGAATGTAGTTTCCATCTGCAGAGTTCCCGTGCAGTGCTTACCCCACAGCCCAGAAAGAAATCCTCACTGACAAGCACAGCTCTGATGAGCGCCCAGTCTAACAGCCGTGTGTGCAGAAGTGAGCCCTGAGCTGAACCTCAGACGGCGCCCCTTCCTGCACGGACACTCGCTATCCTCAGCTTCCAAGCAGACGTTCTTTCATCTTAGCCTTGGTGATACTAAATAACATGTAACTGAACTTTATATTCTTAAAGCACTTGATGCTTAGGGAAAAACATGAATCCAGGTGGAAAGCTGGGACAAATGGCAAAAATACGGAACAAATTTTGACCTGAGAAGATCACCTGGAACACTAACTGCTAACATTACATGCCGAGAGCTGGAAAAAAACAAACTAGGAATTCCTCCAGCTTAAGTCCCTTCTCCATCCAGGGGGAAGCCCAGTCCTAGAGCAGTGCAATGTCTCACCCAGGTGCCCAGGGCTCCACCACCCAAAGAACCAAGCTGCCTCTGCCAGTAGCATTTCATCTTGGCCCTCCTTTACCCCAAGTACCAATCATACCACCTGGCTTTTGAGTCACTGATAACCAGATCACCAAGAGGGACTTGTCTTGTCTGTGTACATCTCTTGGGTACTCAGGGCACCCCACAGAAAATCCACTTTTCCTAGGAGGTGCCTCTTGCCCATTCTTCATCCACCCACCTAAATCTACCCAGGAAAGCGGATCACCCAGCCAAGAGCCTGCTGGATAGCTTATTAACTCTGAGGCTGAAAGGGAGTCCTTTAGAACATGACGTGCCGCCTCCTAATGGCCCTAAATTGCTGGTGGGTCTCATTTTCTGATGAGGCTGCCTAGCAGGATTTAAATGAGGGCTTGCTCAATGAAAATGAACAGATAGCTGTACCATTTCCCTCTTAACACCATATCCCCAGGCTACTTTTTTTTCTCCTACAGACATTTAAAATCTACCCCAAACGAACACAATTACAAAATAACAGAATGCCAGAGGAGGAAAGAACCTCCCAAAATCATTAAGGCCAGTACTTTTCCAAAGTATGGTCTGTGGAGTAATAGTTAAAAAGAACATTAATGGGCTTTACTTAACAAAAGGGGAGGGGCAGGTGACAGCAGGTTAAACACAATTGCACTGGTTCGTTAACCTGTAAGCATTGTGAGAGATATTAACCTGAGCATTTCCTGAACTTAATTGACCAAGAACCCTTATTTTCCTAAGAAATGGCCTAGGGGTTAAGGCTCCCAGGAAAATGTCTTGGGAACTATCATTCTAACCCAATCCTCATTTCTCAGATGAGGAAAATGAGGGGAAGTGAGGCTCCCAACTGTGGCCCAGAGCTCCTCACCAGCCACAAGAATCAGCCTGGGCTGGGTGCGTGTGGAGAGGCCCCGTCTTCTCACTCATTCAGCCAAGTGGGGCTGCCATGGCCACTCTGCAGTCACTGCCCCCCTGCTCCCTCCCTGCCCCAAACAAAAAGCCATATGTGATAAAGTCAAATGCCTGGGGACTGTTTGACAGACAACAGGTTTAGAGGTGGCAAGTGTCTGGCTTGTTCATCTGACCTATTTCCATGAAATTCTTAATTGCTAGGCATAGTATTGCAGCCGGATCCCCGGACATGTAAACGGTCTGCTAGCAGCAGTCATGACCACTCAAGCATGCCCTGAGGCTCCCTTCCCTCCCCGGCACCTCCCTGATGAACACAGTGGAGAAAGTGTCTGATCATCACCCTGGGACTGATGCCACCCACTGCGGTGGGGTGTGGCTTACCCCTCTATGACCCCCTTTTGGCTGTTGATTAAAGGTGCTAACTGAAAATGATTTAACATCATGCAATTACACTTAAACTTAATTAAATGATGCTAAATCTATTAAAAATAGCCAGCATCAGAGGTAGCAGATTAGGTTTGCAGGCCCATGTGGCCAAATTCAAGCAGGAAATTGCCTCTGGTGTCCAAGTATTTGCACACTGTTGCATCTCCAAGGCAACTATGGTGATCGTGGGACACATTTTCCAGCTTTAATTAAAAAATGAAAACTAGTGAGCAGAAGGCACACTGCATATGGATAGACAGCATTTCCAGTAGGAGGCCCACCCTATGTCCCGAGGAATAAACCAAAATGCATCTGAGAGAGGGATTTTCACTAGCATCCACTTAGTGATGCATTTCTTGGGCACACACTGCATGCCAAGCACTGTACTAGGCACCAATGGGGGATATGAGGCAAGAGTAGGGCAGCCCCAGTTCCAGCGCTGACAGTTTGCAGAGGAAGCGAGGCTGGCAGTGGTGTAGGGGAAAGAACCCTGTCTCTGGACTTGGCTTTGCCATTAACTGTCATTATGACCTTAGAGGAGTTTCCTCTCTCTAGGCCTTAGTTTTTCCAAAGCTGTGAAGTGAGAAGATGCTCATAAGGTCCACTCTGGCTCTAACCAAGATGATGGTAAGAGTTAAGAACTGAATCATGGGAGCGCTCTGCTGAGGTAGGTAACATCACCCCCGCTCTGCAGATGGGGAAACAGGCCTAGAAAGGTTAAGGAACTATCAGTAAGTGGCAGAACCAGGATTTGAGCCCTGACAGTCCTGACTCCCAGTTCTCACTCTCAATTAGTTCTCTACACAGCCTCTAACTGGAGAAAAATCTAAGACTAGCCTTGACCATGCACCTGTGCTCAAAAACCTCTGACTTGCTGTTATGTCTAAGGGAAAGAGCCTGCTGTGCCATGTGGTACCCAAACCTCTGTCTTTCAGGGTCCTGCCTCCCTTCTCCACCACCTGTGTCCTCTGTCCACTCTTCCCCAAGTGTGCCCTGACATTCCCACCTCTGTACGGTCTTTACACTAATGCTCAGTGGGTGCTAATATGGGTAAGGGCTGGAAAGTGAGCTCAACAGACAGGGTCCGAGCGTTCAGTGGGGGAAATAACGCCAATAAACACTTTCCTTCTCACCTGAAGGTCCCCTCAGAGGTTAGGTGGGGAAGATCAGCTATAGGATCAGAGAGACACTTCACTTATAAGCCCAAGCCCTGGCTTTTCAAAAAGGCCCTGGCCCCACCCACCCA